GCTTGCCTTTCTTTTTCTACTCTACTTTTGAAGGTTTGTTTTGACAATTTAAATTCAAACAATAATATTGAGGTCATTTTAAAAAAAGTGAAATGAGGAATTTAGGAAAAAGATATTTAATATGATGAGTTCTCATATCAGGTTTATTATTTTAAAATTGCTAGTGTACTTAAAATTAGAGAGCTGATAATTTTTGCCGAGAATCTATCTGGGTAGACACAGGCAGAGGAGCATTTAAATATCGGCAAAGCAAAATGTACTCTTCAAACACATTAGAGGTGAACACTGTTATTTTTGACCTTCTGTAATGCAGAATCACCATCAAAGCTGTTGTCTAGTATTTATCAAATGGTCAAGGTGAGGTGCTGAGGATCAACCCAGTGCCTCACGCATGCAAGGCAAGAGCTTTACCACTAAGCTATAACCCCAGCCCCCAATTGTGCTTTTGAAAAGGCATATCTAGCTTCATGCTACCACCTTGGTTATACTGTTCTGGCCCTTGCTGGCTGACAAACAAAGAAAAGTGGAGGTTTACTTACCCTCACCCTAATACTATTATATTCTATGGTAGTTTCATTAGAAAATGAAATAAAGCTATGTTCACCTCTGATTCCATTTAAAAAGTAAAAACTGAGCACCAGTGGTGACCCCAGATCAGCCTGGGAAAGACTCAGAGGAGTTCTACAACTGTGAGCCTAGTGCACATTCCTCTCTTTGGAAGGTGTCTCCTTCCTTTTTGGTGTGTTAAGGGGAAAAAAAACCAAATCAATTTTCTAAGAATACATTTTTGTTGAAGCTGGTGATTCAGAGATTGAGATATTTTTAGTAGTTTATAACACAATCTTTCACTAATATATATCAGACTGTATTTTCTTATAAAGCTAAAATGTTTTAATATAGTTGGTTAAGAAAGGATTACTGAAGAAAAAAATCAACCTAAAAGTATATTAAACCAAATTTTAATATGATCTTTGCTTGCTGCAACATATATATTTAAACCAATATCACCTACGGTACAATTCTAAAAACTCTGTGTACCCTAGGTACATCTATGTATAATTACAAGAAAGTAATTATATTACTGCTACATATGCTTAGAAGTTTTGGAATAAGCAGATGAGTAAATTACATTATTTCCAATAGAGTTGTTATAGTTTTACAATAACAAGTAAGCTTTAAATAAATTCTTCAACTCCTAACTAGAAGGAACTCTTAAAATTTTGAATATTTCTTCTTTTTACTAACTAAGTGGATCCTTAATTGACCTCAAGGAGCCCTTCCATAAGATTACTGTAAATGTGAGGAGGTTTTGATATATATTTGAGTAGTGATTGAAAAGTTCAATAAAGCAATGTTCTTTAAATGGGATTGTAGTAAACAGACAGCTTACAGGCTTGAGCATGCTTTTAGATTAACAGGCAGTTAGTTACAGCAAGCACTCAGGACACACTTGAGTGATCCATTTCATAAGCACCTCCCGCTGTCTTTTCTAGGATTTGGAATCCTCTGTTGTTATGGATGGAGAGTTTGTTGGTGTTCTTCTAATGCTTTTTAGGGATTATTGCTCCTTTACTGTTGGCTGTTTTGAATTTCAAGACAGGATTAAAGGGAGTTATGAGAATTCAGGTCTTTAATTTTCATGTACTCTATTTCTCAGTGTTGTGTTAATGAGTAATTGCTAGTAAATAAAAAACTGTATGAATTTTGAAGTGACTTATGATGATCTGGATTAGGTCAGGATCTTTTTTTTTTTTTTTTTTTTAACTGTATTTTTTTAGCAATGATGGCTGAGGCTGGCCTGGGACTTGTGATCCTCCTGCCTCAGCCTCTGGAGTCGCTGGGATTATAGGCCTGTACCACCATGCCCAGCAAGAGGTGCTTTTTTCTGTTCTTTCATTTTTTTAAGCCTATCTGTAGCATCTGGCATAAAAGTTACCACAGAGTACAACTCTGAAAAACAATTGAAGGTATGAGCAAAAACATATTTTAAATTTGTAATTAAGATTAGAAAAAGGGGGGCATAACTTTATTTCAGTTACATATATCTATTAAATATATAGAAAATAGTGCCATGCTTTGAACATGTTCTTAATATTGAGAACAAAGGAATTTCCTTTTTAAGTAGAAATGGATAGTGTGCTGAATGTTAAAGTCACTTCTGAGTGTGCTAAATATGAGACAGAATAACTTCTCAGGTTGCCCTTGGATAGTACTTTTGCTAGATTTTTGAAGGGAATTGCCTTGATTTTAGAATTTTTGGGTCATGGGAGTTGTGACTACAAATCTGAAGTGTTGATATAAAAAGATAAAGGGACTTTGATTTCTGAATTAAGTATGTTGGGAATATATACTCTAAACAGAATAATAAAATAAAAATTTACTCATCCAAAAATAAAAAAGAAGCAGGGGTGTTTTATGTGCTTATCAAGCATGAACATATAACCAGCCTTGGCTAATCAGTTGTGCCTCCCTATCAGTAGTGGTTAGTTTGGGAATAGATATGTTAGCCAAACTCAGTAATCACAGCAAATTCAGTACTGCAGCTTTAAGAGTTGGAAGGAGTTGTGCCCTTTGCACAGGGTCTGCTGAACCATAAGCTTGGAGCTGCTGGCTACCATTTTGCTTTTTTGCCCCTTGAAGAGAAGAACCTGCCTGAGAACTGAGCCAGAGGAGAGAAATGCACAGCTGAAAGACAGGAGTGGTCAGCTGGGTTACATTAGGGAGCCTCTGGATCCAGCTTTTTTTTTTTTTTACTGTATTTTTTTTTTTTTTTTTTTTTTTTTTTAGCAATGCCTAAAGCGAGCCTGGCCTCTGAGTATGACCCCAAAAAACCCCTTTTTGCTTTTAAGTTAGTTTAAGATTGGTTTTACTGTCACAGGTGATGAGAAAGTTTTCTTGAGTACTCGAATCATGGATCCAAAAGGCCTTTCTGGGAATGCTTGTCTTTTCCTATTTGTGCTCCTGCAGGGCTTTCTCTGGAGTGAGCCTCCCATTTTATGTTCCTCATTCATAGAAAAATCAAGACCAACTGAGCTTTTGCCTAACTGCTTCTTTGGTCAGTTGGTTCTAGCAGAGTCCTGCTAGGCATCTCATACAAAACCTCTTCACAGACCTTGACCTTCACCTGGGCTCTTCCCTGTCATCCTGGTAAACAGACCTATCTCATAGCTAATATATTTTTGCTGCAGTCTTAATGTATTTCCTGGTTCTGTCTCAACTGTTTTATTTTCTGTCCCAGATTTCCAGGTTACTTTAATATGAAAAAGCTTAGGTTTATTCAATCTTTCTATGCCTCAGTTTGAAATCAACAAATAAAAGACCTGAATAGCTGATAATAATAATGCTCTATGGTTATATTAGATTGTTTTATGTTTATAATATCGTTTAATCATCTCTGTAATTTACAATTCTTAATTTACAATTAAGAAATTATAAATCTGTAATGTTGTGTTTCTGTGTTTACAAACAGAAGAAACATGTATTTAAATATTTTCTTTGCTATTATTTTGGGAAGCGGTTACTTGGGATTGAATCCAAGGGCACTTTGTCACTGAGCTACATCCCGGCTTTTTTTTTTTTTTTTTTTTTTTTTTTTCAATTTTGAGACAGGATCTCACTTAATTGCTTAGGGCCTCACCAGGTCGCTGAGGTTGGCCTTGACCTTGTGATTCTCCTGTCTCAGCCTCCTGAGTTGCTGGGATTACAGGCATGTCCCCAATGCCCCCTATTTTAATATTTTCTAAAGAACATGGATATTTAGTTAGGCATTGGAAATTATATGATTAGTATAAATACATAGACCAAAATAAAAATCTTGAGATCCCTCAAAGTCATTTTAAACATTATATAAAATCAACTTAATGGACATTAGAAATGGAACATAGGGTGTCTAAATAGAATCATCACAATGATGCCCTGATTTTATCAATGGTGTTGGTCTCCCTTCTTTTGCAAGTTAGATCTTTAAATATTTTTGCATTCAGCAGTTGTGGGAGTAGGGGGAAGGATAAAGCATGCTTAATTATTTAAAAACAAACTCAGAGAAAAAACATCTCTTATTAATTTTCAAAATTGAGAAGATTGCCAGATGTCCATGAAGCTCTGCCACTGCAGAAGGAGTTACACAAGTTGCCAAGTGTCAGCAACAGGAAATTGCTACTCATAGACTGAGCAATAAGCTGGGCTAAGGATAAGCAACCTGGCCTGGAAGGACCCTGGATGAAAAGTTTCAGTCTTAAAAGGCCATCTAGAAGCAGAAGCAAGTCTAGCCTGGCATGGGCAACCTTCTCTGAGGTGTACTTGGAGGACACCAAGGCAAATCTCCTAGTTCCTAAATCATTTTCCTCATTTGCTATCACTCCTGAAATTCCACTGTCACCCTTTGCTTTGGATTCTTAAGCAGACCCCTTTGGAAAAGCATCATTATTTTTGAAGATTAGACATTTGGCTAAGAATGACACTTTATAGGGGTAGGACAGAAGCTAGATATCCTGTAAGTAGGGAAACAAGAAGCAGAACCCTGAGCAAGGAAAGGTGGTTACTTTGGCAACTAGACATGAATCTGCTCCACAATCTGCTTAGATTGACTTCAGGGAACAGCCAAAGTTTTGCCATGAAAAGTCCATTAAATTTTTCCCTTTTTACAGTTTTTTTTTGAGTGGGGGGGGCAGGGGGTTATTACTTTCTAAATTTTCTATGCTTACTTTAAGCTACTTAGAAACTGGTATCTGCTGTTAGCAAATATATATAAAATCCCTTCCCCCATTCACACATTTCTCCAAAATCGAACTTAATAAACTTATTCTAGAGCTATGCATGAATCACTTCAGGCCTCAACCTGTTTATTTAAGGCTCATGGTACCTAAGGATAGAGACTGATTTGTCTATTGAGCATGGTTAGAAAAGAAAAAAGCCCCCCCCCCAATGTCAAAAGATCAGTGACCACATTATTTTTTAAATACTGAAGATTTAAAAAAAACAACACACACACACACACTTACCCCATTTGGATTGTTGACCCTAGAAATGAGGGTATGCAGTAGTCAGCTGCTGCCAGTGTGTATGGTGGTCGAGCAGCAGAATCGTCCCAGTAAATGTCCTTCTTCATCTTGGGTAAGCTCCTATGCATTTCATCCACAGCTAAAAGAGAGACCTAAAATCATCGTCATATTGTTAGGCCAGATCAGATGTGAATTATATTAAAAAAGATAAGAATTTTCAGTAGGGGGACTGAGTTTGAGAGCAACAGGACATAGTCCAAATGAATGGATGCACAGATGCCTACAGCATATATTTGCTACAACCTGGGCTACTGCAGAGAGTTGCACCTGTTGTTCACTACTGGAGAACACTGGTCAGTGGTATAAGTGAGGCTGTCAAGCTGCCCACCCTCTGTCCTTATGCCCGGGGATGGAGCTGCATCTCACCTGGAGGGAGGCAAGCACCTTTTCCTTCTTTGTTCACAGTTCTGGTATTATCTTAGTGCCTGCCCTGCCAGCAACCACCTAACTCCAGGTAGTGCAGCAAGGTGGACAGCCTCAGTATTCATTTCTGCTAACCCCATAAACACTTTTTTACTTGACATCACTTCTTACAATCCCTGGTTTCTTGTTTTTTTAGAAAAGCACATCAGCAAGCCTATGCTGTTTGAAGCTATAATCATCTTTCCCTTTGGCTTTGACTGAGTGATACATAAATAAATTACTCTCTCAGAACCAATTTTTGACAGAATGATTCAGGCATTGCACTTCTTCCTCTAACAGACTGACAAAGTAATCTCTGTGAAATGTCTGAACATGTTTAAAAGCCAAGTTGGACTTGAAACGAATGGACAAAGTGAAGGCCTTTACTTAGAGAAGAGAATAGTCTGAGGAGAGTTTTGCCTAACATTCCCCTCATGCTGGTTCTTCATGGAAAACTCACTGAGAAGGGGGTCCATTTTATGCATGTCAGGCAGATTTGAGACACAGGCCTGTGTGGTCCAGGCTCCCAGTGTCCAGCTGCTGGACAACTGACTGCTGAGGTCTGTGAGCTGTGAGTTTGGCAAGTCACATCAGATTGTATCTGGATGCTATTTTATGTCACTGTTAACCTCTTTGGGTGCCAAGTGAAACAGATAAAAAATGAATTAAAATACTGCTTTATTCTAGATGGAAGAGGCTGGTTAAAGCTGATAGAGAAACTTATAGAGAAAATTGATTTGAAATTCTACCTAAATTTCACTGGAACTGAGATCCAGGACCTGTGAGGCTCCAAAAGGATAATATATGCCTAGCCAAATTTTTAAATTTGTGGCTAATGCGCTGAAGTCCAGGGGCCTGCATTCAGAATCTGTTTAAATGAGAAACATCACAGGTGATTTATTGTTAAGTTTTATAAAGGAAAGAAAAATTCTTCTAACCTGTAAATTTCTATCAATGCACCAGTTAGTTTCAAAATCATCATCATCTTCTCCAAAAGGATTGATAAGCTGCTCAGCCACCTGCAGTTGGAAACACAGAATAAATCTATCATGATACTTGTGAAGACTAAGAACAGAGATTGAAGTTGATTCCTATTTTATTCTCTCCTTATTTTGTCACTTTCATAATATGAAGCCTAGAGGGGAGTGGGTTGTTCTCCAGACAGATACTTATTAGAATATAAGACTTGATTCTCTAGTCATAAATGATGCTCCTTTGTTTGCATGATCTCCACATGGATCTGTCTATTCAACTGGTGACAGAGAAGGCCCTATCACAGAGAAGCTTTGTGCTGTTTAGGCGCCACTCAAACCAGTGCATATTGAAGAGTCATCAACATGTGAGTGGCATATAGCTTGTGCTTTCAAGGAATTTATAAGGGCTAGGATGATAAGACAAAGTTAAACAGCAGAGGAAGACTTAAGTCATAGTTAAAGAAAGTGCAAGGTGGTTTCACAATTATTAGACATAACCGCTAAGTGAAAGAGCAGGCTAGTCAGTCATCACGTTGGAATTTGAGGCTTACTTAGCTTTACTCTAGATTGGCTCTTATCTATCTAGTAACCTAGATTTCCTGTTGAAAAAGTTTAGGTGGTTTCTTATCACATTTAAAAATGTTTGATAGATATTAAATATTCTTATCATATTCCTGAACTGAATAGCTTTTTTTTTTAGATGGGGTTTGCTATGTTGCCTAGGCTAGTCTGAAAACTCCTGCGCTCATGGGATCCTCCCACCTCAGCTTCCTGAGTGCTGGGACTACAGGTGTGTGTCACCTTGCCCAGCTTCTATAGCCTCTTGATGAGAGATTTTAAATGTCTAAAATGACTTGCTTGTCATTTACTTTTTTGAATAATTTACTTTGATTTGTGTGTGTGTGTGTGTGTGTGTGTGTGTGTGTGTGTGTATGAGAGAGAGAGAGAGAGGTGGGGGGGGAGAGAGAGAGAGAGAGAGAGAGAGAGAGAGAATGTGTGTGTGTTTTTACATTGAATCCTCTACATAGGAAAAACTTACAAGTATATAAAATATATTGTTTGATTAGTTATATACTTGTAATATCACCATATACTTAGAAGTATATAAAATATTATTTACCTATTCCTTATTTTTTTATTGGTTGTTCAAAACATTACAAAGCTCTTGACATATCATATTTCATACATTAGATTCAAGTGGGTTATGAACTCCCATTTTTAACCCAAATACAGATTGCAGAATCACATCGGTTACACATCCACATTTTTACATAATGCCATATTAGTAATTGTTGTATTCTACTACCTTTCCTATCCCCTACTATCCCCCCTCCCCTCACCTCCCATCTTCTCTCTCTACCCCATCTACTGTAATTCATTTCTCTCATTGTTTTTTTCCTTATTATATACTTAAAATATTACATACTTATATGTACTTATAAACATATAAAATATATCATTTGATTAGTATCTAGATTTTTAGATTCTGAGACCACTGATAGGAGCTTTTTAGTATTTAAGTCAAACCATTTACAGCAGTTATTTTCAACCTTAGCTATGCACTAAAATCACCTAGGGAGCTCTTAAAAAATAAACAATAATGCCTGAGTCCCTCCTCTCAATATTCTGACTTAACCAGTGTGATTCTGGGCCCAGGAATTGGTACTATGTAAAGCTCCTAGGAGATTTTAAAGCATGGGCAGGTTGAGATCCACTTACATAGAGAAGTGTATCTCCCTTGTTCTAAGGGACAGTCCTGAGCAGGGCAGTGTCCTGTGTCAGTAAGTCTCTCAATGACAGCTGTGTCAGAGTCCTTCATTGTGAGTTGTGAGGGTTGCCTGGGGTTTTTCTCAAATTAAATGAGTCACTGCTTATTCTTGAAAATATTTTTGTTATATATAAAATTTCAGTTTTATGGTGTTAGTCCTGTGTATATTATTATAATCTACAGTTATTAAAATGATACCTATGTTTGTGAATTTACAATCTCACAAAAATATGCTTTATTAGAGGCTCCATTTTCAGCAAGTAACTGAGTAATATAATGTCTAGAAGGTCCAGATGGTTTTCTACATTTTGAAAAGATTTATAAATATCTGAATTGTCAGGCTAGAACAGCTCTTTAGAAACTGAAATGTAACTCACTGGATTGGGAAAACTCACTCTGTTAAGTTTGCTTGTCTCTTAGTGGAGCTATGAATATGCCTTTTCATATTTTTAAAAAATATTTTTAGGCAAAGGATGTTAATATTTTAGAAAGTGCATCAGAAGAAAGGAACCATTTACTGCTTTATGGGCCAGCTGAACACCTTACATGGACATAAAGCAAAGAAGCTCAGCAAAACTCAGGGAAAGAACAACAACAAACAAAAAACACAAGAATGGTTTACCTTTGGGCCACCTGTGTGAATTTTATGTTGATAAAGACAAAGTCTACTTTTTTCTTTAATGGGAAATGAGAGCCATTAACTCTCCTTCTCTTTCTTACTTGTAAGTAAGTAAAAATAATTAACAATCACTGTCATCTGGTTAAAAATATTTTTGCCATTTGTAAAGGACAGCCTTTAGTCCTTGGAGTACAATTTGAAATGCCAACATATTTATTTTTTCTGGGTAAAAGTCAAACTGATGAAAGAAAAGACTTCTGCAGGGAAAAAAGTCTGCTACAATCTGAAGGCATGACAATGTGGCTGTTTGGAAGGCCAGACATTTGAAAATTCTATTTCATGAGTCACCTTTAAACTGTTGCTAGATTTCAGTTGACTTAATGATGCCATTATCTTTGACTTTCTTCCTATCACATACTTCCCATTTGGACATTCACCAAAGTGATGGAAGAATCAGGCATCTGGTCCTTACACACATGTACCTGGGGAGGGTTGAGAGGAGCAGCGATAGTGGTGGAGGTGGTGAAACCAATAAAATTCTTCACTGATAATGAGACAAGCTGTTTTACTGCTCTAACCTGTTTTTAAACTCCTGCAAACTCAATGTCATCCATAATCCTGGTGTTTCTGATTTTGATTCCCATGAGTTCTGAGTCTTAGTTCTGGTCTTGAAAATTGGATGCACTTAATGGTGTGGGACAGCTAGTAGGATTTCAAGCAATAATTTACAATGCTGAGCCGAACTAAGATACTACTACACAATTAATGCTTAAATCTGATTGATATCCAAAGCTGCTTCTTTGCCCTTGCTTACTCTTCCTAGTTGCTTATTGTGGTATAAAAATGCAGGCACAGTTATTACTTTAATTACATTATTGTAATCCTAATGGGAACAAATAGACACTAAAAAAATCAATAACTATAAAAAAGTGTTCTTCTAATCTCTTTAAACTGCTTCAGACTGCTGCAACAGAGTTGAACTACATCTCTGTCATTTTAATCCTTGATGGAAAAGTGATCACATATCTGAGCTGTTACATGTTAAATCTGCCTTTGATTCACTGATTAATAATTTTCTAAAGACTTAGTATAGGAGCAGTGTGGAGTTTGGAACATGATAGATTAAGAGTGGATCTTAGGGCACCAAAACTGATGGCTACCTTGAGCCATCCTGCATAGAAGAAGAATTGTAGGAGAGTAAAGATTGGAATGTAAAGATCTAAGTCATGCCCCGCGTAGCCTTTGGTGGGATCCAAAAACTGGCGTCCAATCAGGCATGCAAAGAAGAAGGTGTAGACAGCAAGAGTGACAACCTGGAATAGAGAGAAACTGGAGTGAGAGGACAGTGCTAGCTGCCCACAGGGAGCTAGAGTGCCAAGGTAGGCAAATAGAAAATATCACATGCAAAGTGTTTGATACCTGTGTGTAAACCAGTGGAATCCCAACCCAGTCATAACCGAATAAGAGGCTGCACCAAGAGCGGTATCGATTCATTTCCTAAGCCAGAAACAAAGCATGATTTAATATGATGATGAGTATGGTAATAAACATCAACTGGGATTCATAACATGGGCACGTCTTTTCCAAATGGGTTTGTAAAGTGATGGGATTGCCTTTGTGGCTCATAAATTGGCTACCAAGACTACTACAAAAAGAAAGTTCTGAAAATGACAAGCAACGAGCATCACTGAACAATGTGCAAAAAGGGTGAGAACATCTGGACATACATATTCTTTAAAATATTAAAATAAGACAGGACTTTATAGAAATATCCCTTATTCTATAGGATCCATAATTTCCAACACATATATTAGGTGAAAGTGGTGATAAGAAAGCCATGGTTGATATTTAAATTGTAATTTCTAGTTAGCAAATTTCGAGGGTATTTTTTCCCCTTCTCATTTAAAAACATGCTTAATATAGATCTTAGAAAAGAGATGCAAATATATCCTAAATCTTCCCCTTGCTACAAATGGAGACTTTTGAATGCTCATACTGATAGAAAAATCCATCTTTGTGTGGCATAGGAATTGGCATAGAAAGGACTGAGTTTCATCGATTCCTTTCCTCTATTGAGCATACATTATTATCTAAGACTGGGATGAAGAGTTCACCTTAATTTGAGAGCTGTTTTTAAGCTATGGACTCCTTTCAGCCTAATCCAAGCAGGAGACAGTTGTGGCACAAATGTATCCAGTTCTTATGTAAATTTGTTCTCAGATGAACTCAGGGCTCTTTTGTGTAGTGAAAATACTGCTTTTTCAGGTGAATAATTGGAACACCTGAAAAGCTAACTTAAGCTTGGGATAGTCCAGTTTTGGGGAAATGGCTTAGGAGGTTTACTTTTCCTCCAGATTTTATCCTAGGGGTTGCAAATATGCTGTGTGGGCACCAAATCCTTCAGGTCTCTTGGCAGCCCTTGGTTAACGAATCAAGGAACACTTTTGGGCTGGGAGTGTGGTTCAGTGATAAAGCATTTGCCTACATGTATGAGACCCTGGGTTTGATTCCCAACACTTGGGGGTGGGTGGGGGAGCACTTTTTACAGAACCTATTACAAAGGATTCTGTTGAAACACAGCTTCCAAACAGCCACTAAAAGAATCTGAATTCAACCTGTATACTATCTCTGTCCTGTACACTGTAGCTTCTGATACTACCCCAGTGTTTCTAATTTCATGGAACCAGGATTAAACAAAGCAGATTCTTTCTGGTCTGACTTGTTATATCTAGGTTCTTTAGGGGATCTAAATGGCATTTTTTTAAACTTATGGTTTATGATGTACTTACAGTCATCAGTGATTGAAGATCAACACTGTCTCTGATTCTACCTTCATCTCGGGCTTTAGTTGCAAGATTACCAAACCAGATGAATGGAACCCAGTATTTCAGATGAGGAGATTTGAGGTGGTCAAATATTTTCCTTTCATCTGCTGTCATAAAACCTTTATGCAAAATAACAATAGTGAGATTATACAAACTTAGCACTTATGCATCAACATATTTTCAGTCTATGATATAAACATATCAAAGGGGCACACTAAAGGAATGTAGAGTACAGGTTCCTGTCTAACATAGCTTATGTTTGTATTAGAGATAAGGAATGTGTGCACGAGAGCATGCATGCACTGGAACATGCGCACGTGTGTGCACACAACACCCAAGTCATATATCAGACAATGCATACTTAAGTGCCCAAACACACGCTGTCAATCTCTGATAGAGAAGGTGACAAGGAGACAATAAATGTGGACTGGAACATTTGGAGAAGTTTCTTCTTTAGGCTTTGGTTTATTCATCTAAAATTTGGCACAATAATACTTAGAATTGCTAGGACTGAAAGACTACATTGTGGTAGTTTATACAAAACACTTAGTACAGTGTTAAACACATGATTGATGTGACTGTTCCTTTTCACCTCTCCTTTCAAAGTCCTACATAGTCATGTTTTCTTCTATGAAACTTTCCCAAATTCTTTCCCTTGAGATTTTTTCACTGTAAAGTGCCCACATAATATTCCCTCTTGGCTTGTATTATAGTAATATTGTACTTTATGTAATCATACATAAATGTTTCAATATCTTTAGAAAGAGTCCCCATAGTATTTTTCATATACTTTAAACATGCTTCTATAATTGTGCATATGTGTATAAAATACAGTTTGCTTGAGCTTGCAGTAACCTCTCTGAGCCTCAGTTTTCTCATCTGTGAAAGAGGTATGATAATATCTACTTTACAGGGATATTGTAGAATTGAGATGATGAACATATGTCGGGATGTTTGTTAGCATAATGCTTAGCACATACATAACACTCAGTGGGTGCTAAGGTATAATATATTATGTCACACTTCAGCTAGCCTTTTCCTTCTCCTCCCTCCTGTACAAGGAAAGAAGAGATTTGATAATAGAAGAGGAATAAGGTAGCAGGTTTCATAAACATTTATTTAAAGTCTACTCTATATTGGGGTTTGTTTACACAGAAATGTACTTTAAAAGTTTATAGTTTATTCCTGATCTTTTATGTTTTAAAAATTTTGATTGAGTAATTCAAATGCTGCAGATAACCTAAAGGACCAAAGAAATATTAATGGAGAAAGTGAGGTCTCAATTTCCCATCCACACACTTTTTTCCCTGGAGGAAATGGTTTATTGTGTATCTTTCCAGGGAGATCTCATGGATTTTCATATAGGCCTGTTTTTTTAAAATACAAATGGCTGTATATTTTTATAGTTTTATTTGAGATTAAAAAATTAATACAAAGAAAGTAGCATCATTCTTTTTAATGGCTGCTCTCTCAATTAATAGTAACATTAAATTATAGCTAATTGTATGCAATATAACCTTTTCCCATATATATTTGATAGACCTTTATTTTACTTATTTATATGTGGTGCTGAGAATCAAATCCAGTGCCTCACACATGCCAGGCAAGTGGGCTACTGCTGAACCCCAGCCCCAGCCCTCTATTTCCTTTTTGAATAGATATTTAAATAGTTTTTAGTTTTTTACTACTAAAAATAATACCATATGACTCTCCTTGTGCCTATACCTTGACTTGATTTTTGTCTCAGAAATGTAATTTTGTTATGAAATTCTGAGAATACCTTCAGATGAAAATCAACTTTTCATCTAATGCAACACATTTCATATCTTTAACTGTTACAAGTCTGATTATTTTTTTAATATAATCATCCCTCCCTACCACATAGTTTTAAGAGGTATTATTACAATAGAAAATATGTCAAAGGAGAAATGAGATATGCCTATTTTGAGTCACCAATGCACAGAATTGTGCAGTTGCATTGATCCTTGACCTGACCTAGGCAAATGCTTTTAGGAGTAAGGTCCACAGACAAATGACTTGATTCTCTGAATCACAAAAAGTACCTATTAAGCATGGAGTGGGCTGGGCGCCACTTAACCTACTAAAGCACACTCAGTATAGCAGGAGTTCTCAACCTAGGTTGGCACATTAGAATCATGTGGATACTTTTAGAAAATATCAATGTCTTTTCTCAGAGATTCTAATTTTATTCTCAGCGATTCTGATTTAAATGGTCTAGACTGAGGTCAGGTATCAGCATTCTTTGGAGTCTTTCTGGGTAATTAATGGAATTGGATCTTGGCAGTTATATGTTTACCAAGCTCTGCAGGAAATTCTGATATTCAGCAATGTTTGAAAATCACTGTCCTAACAAATGAAGTTTCTGTTTATTCAGTATTTGGAATAAACAGAGTTATAATTACAAAAACAATATTTACCAACAGAAGACAAGTTTAAGATTACACTCAAGTTATTCAGATTACCTTAGGAACATTCTGCCAATGCCTAGAAATTAGTACTCTCTCTGGAGGTAAAAATGAAAATAAGCTTGGAAATTCTTTTCTTTCTTAGTGCAGCTCAAAGTTGTTACATGATCCAGATAATCTACTTTTTTTTTTTAAGACTTGCAGAGCATGATTAAATGTTATTACAAGAGGTTAACAGCTAAATTTGACTGTCTTGGCTTAATGCTTTCTTTCTTTTCTTTTCTTTTCTTTTCTTTTTTTTTTTTTGTGGTGCTGGGTTTTGAACCCAGGGCCTCATAAATACTAGGAAGTCACTCTACCAATAAGCTACACCCCAATTTTTTAAAAAAATTTCATTTTGAGAGGCAGGATCTTGCTAAGTTGTTCAGGCAGGTCTTGAACTTGTGATCCCCCTGCCTCAGCCTCCTGAGTAGCTGGGGTTAATAGGCATGCATACCACACCTGGCCTGGCTTTATGTTGAAAGACTTGCTACAGCGGTTCTTCCTTTAACTGGAAGCCTATTCTCAGATATTCTATATCAATTTTCTAACAGATATATTCTTAGGATTTATAGTTTAATTTTCAAAAATGACCCTGCTTGTATGTTGGTTGCAATCTCTGTAATTTGACCAAAGAATTACTTTGTCTCTAGTTATTTTTTATTCAGGAGTATGGATCAAATTGTGCAAGCAAGCCCTTTCTTGGCTTCTAAGCATTAGGCAAATATGCAGAGTGAGGGTTTATTTAGTGCAAACAATAAGGCAAGAGTTAGGCCCTTCTCTCAATGTAGGACATCGGTTGATTGGAAGGGGTCATGTAGAGAGAAGAAAGCTAATGGTTTTGTTTTTGGCCTAAATTCTTGATTACTGAGAAAAATAGATCGTGAATCAGATGTTAATGTATCGCTCAAGAGTATGCAGGAAGAATTTGGTCATTCCCTGAAGGGTCAAACATCTTATCTAAAGTAATTCCATCTTTGGAAATCAAATTGTTGGTCAATTGAAAAAAGTCTCTAGATTGTCAAATCCATTCAAAGAACATTTGTTATGAAATGTAATAATATTTTCATCAGCACTTGAAGTCAATTAAACCAGAGACCAATGCTTTTTTCCCCCCAGAACAGGGCTATTATCCAAGGCTGGTTAATTGCAGTTATCGATGTGCTACAGTTTGGCAGCATGATCAGTTGGCTGGTCTCCCACCACCCTGTCTCCTTCACATGTCTGTCTCCATGCCATGCTTCCTCAGGCCCTATCCATAGCCCTGGCTGGCATCACTATTTTATCCTGCTACTGCACATGCCTAGATTTCTCTTGGTAGCTCTTTTCTTTCTGGCTAGCTCAGCTCTGCTCAGTGATTTTCATGTTGCCTATCCTCCTAAAACCTCTAATATTTCTAAGCAGAGTAAAATATTTATATCTGTCAATGTAGGTATATGTTTGCATTGACTTGCAACTTGTGGTTTTATGGAGCAGGATCTGCTTGCTACTTTAAGGCAAATTTTATTGCCCTCAAGGTAGAAGACTAATTAAATACATTGGCAAACAACATTCCAGTCATCATAGATTTTGTCTGCTGTACACTTGGCCTATTTTTCCTTGGTTGAAGCTGAGACAGATGTATTTTGCTTTTACAGCAGAGGCTCTGTTAGCAGAAGAACTAAAAGCTCTGCACCTCAAGACTTGAAGGCAGAATGGGTTCTTTCTGAAAAAGAAAGCTGTGCATTCAGCATCTGAGCCGTTCTCAGAGGGATGACTTGTTCAGGAAGATTGCAACGTGCCTGGCTCGTTTTCATCTCTGTTTTCCAAATGTATGCAACAAAGCCACCACTTCAATGATAGATCTCCTTTAAATATAATGGGAGAACTTTTGAAATGCCTGTTGACTGGGAAAATCAAAGAGAGGCAAAATAAGATTGAGATGGATGGAATCACAGCATCCTGCAGGGCAGTGTATCAAAAGTTTTCCACCATAACCCTCAATAAGATATATGTGGTTATGAAACAATTATGTGTTCTTCCATTCCAATCCATTCCATTGCATTCCATTCATTTTAGTGTTCCCATTCAATCCCAATAAAAATGTTGGTTACAAACCATTAAGGTGACCACAGGGCAGAAACATTATGCAAAAGCCAATTGATTTTACTTAGGGAGAGAATAGAAGATCTCAGATTAAATGACACAGTTATGCCAGAAACTCAAGTGGGGCTAGGCTTCCAGACAATGAATCTGATTGAAGTCAGGACTTTAACTCAACAACCACTTAACAACTGGGGGCCTTGCTTGTTTGTATATGTATGTTAACCATGACATTCACTAACAATTAACCCAACAATGAATTATAGCTCACAGCACAGAGAAACATAGCACAGAGAATATAGAGGAAGAAAATCAGTTTCTGGGGTAGCAGTGCTGAATGGACACCAAGAGACTCCTTTATTTTTTCTGATATGTGCAAAATATCTCTAGTCATCCCTGTACTTAAATTAGTATCCCATTTGGTAGTTTACTGCCTTCTACACGATACACACAAGAAATAGCATGCACAAAATCAGTGTTTTTAACTCCTCACCTGTGCAGTTGGCCCAGAATTTCATTTGCCCTGAGGCAATTGCAGATGAAACTGGAAGAATTAATTGGTATGCCCTAGT